TATATATATATATATATATATATACAGGGTGTCCCAGTAACTCTGTTACAAGGCAATATCTCCGTTACCATTACGATACGCGAAAATGCCTAAGGAAGAAATTATTGGTTCTCGAAGGAACACACATTATGGTGGGAATTATTTCTTTCTCAAGGTCATATTTTGAGTCTTTAAGGTCATCGATATTTTTTTAAATAGGACTACATATTTTTATCATTATAGCATAATAGCTGAGGTCAAGACGAATCCAATGGCCTATAATACTGTTACGCCCATGCTCCGTTGCATGCCGTGCTCTACTGACATCCGTGGTGTCGCGTTGTCAAGACGACGTGTCGTTGTTGATGGTAAACAGCTGTCAGATCTTCGGAGAGCACTTAAGATGTACGGACGTGCTTCTCCGCCGATTACGCATATTATCGATACGCTTCTTCTGTACTGACGATCTCGTGGTGCCGACGTTATTGAATAAACGACTTCTTATTTCCTATCCTTTAATCCTTGAGTCTCTTTATTTCCGTGGCTCGGGAGTGCGCGTTACTATCCGAGTGCAATCTCGTGCATCAGGCGCAACATTTTGGGGGCTCGTCCGGGATCAGAGGGTCTCGGATGATTCGTTCACCGATCGTCACGAGAAGGAGAGCTCGAATGGAGAGTACGGAAGGATCGACGACAGCGGAGGAGACAACCCCGCAGAATCAGGAGACTTCCCCGATGCAGACGGTGTTTCAGACGATGTTACGGGAGATGTGACAACTGCGTGAGGAGCAGCGGCGAACGGGGGCGGCGTTTGCGAAGACTCAACGTCAGCAGAATGAGCAGATCTTCCAATTACAAGAGAGACTGCGTAAGATTCCTGCAAATCAGCTAAGTCTTTCCAATAACATTCGCGGGCGAGATTTTTTCGCAAATGTCGCGTGTCAGATTCGCTCGCGGGTGTTGATTCCGTCGCGGCGGGAGATTCTGTCGCGAGTGTCGTCGATCGCGTCAATTTCGTCGCGGGTGTCGTCGAGCATAACAATTTGGCTGTGCCGCTCCACGCGGATATAAACGGGGGCACCGTTAATCGTTTTGATGCGCCTCCGGCATTTCGCGGTCAGATGGGCGTCAAACTTGAGCCGGATATTTATGAGGAGAACGTACCTTTACGCGAGTATCTTGCGCAATTTAACCTAATCGCTCGAGCGAACCGTTGGGAACACAATACAAAGAGCGCTATTTTGGTGTCGTGTTTGCGAGGACGAGCACGCACAATTTTGGAAAACATACAAAATTTAGAGAATTTGCAATTCCGAGGAATTGAAGTCGAAACTTGAGATGCGTTTCAGGGAAACATAAACGTTGCAAAGTTATTATTCGCAGTTCACGAAAAGGAGACAAAAATTCGAGGAGAGTATTGCCTCGTTAGGCTCAGATATTGGACGGTTATCGCAATCGGCATATCCGGAATGTCCCGATACGGTTCGCGATAAAATCGCGGGCGCATAATTCATTTCCACTCTATCCGACGGGTTCGTAAAGAGAACACTTCAAATCGAGGGAGTAACGTCTCTCAAAGTGGCGATTGAGCGGGCAAAATCGGTAAAATTAATACAGGAAAGCAGTTTTCAGTGCAAAAAAGGGGGAAATTATAATTACAAAAAAAAAGAGGAAAAATTTTTATTTTGAAAAGCAGAAAAAGAATCAGAACGAAGATGAAGACAAAGAAAGAAAATTTAATAAAAACGGATTTAAAAAATTTGAAAAAGAAAGGGATTTTAAGTAAATAAAAAAAAGCAATAATAAAGAATGTTGGGAATGCGGTGAAGAGGGACATTTCCGATCAGAATGTCCAAGTAAATCGATAAACCGGGAATAGTCGAACTTTGCGGGGTGCGTTCGACTAATTTGGAAGATACCCCGAAAAACTTTAGTTGTGATAATAATCAATGTTCTTTCAGGTTCAATAAGTTTAAACGTAATTTAACGAAATTCTGTATTTTGAGAATCGATAAAGGCTCTGATGTGTCAATTTTGAATGATAATTTAATTGAATCAAATCAATGTAAAATTAAAATAGATAATTGTAGTTTAACATATCCA